CCTAGCCGAAGAAGAAAACGTTTCCTAAGAAAGCCACGTGTCGTTAAATCAACAGGCAATTTTCAAGAGCAAAAACATTTTGAAATGTTCAGTATCCGCTTTTCTCAACAATGGAGGGAATAATCAGCTGATCACAGTTATATGGTGCGAAACGGGCCAAATCTGGGCCACATACAGCTACACCTACATATCGTACATGGCCATCACTTGGGTTAAAGGTAGTGAAAGCTGAAAAATTACCCTTTTGCCACTCCCCCAAGCTCATCTATAAACAAATATTAACAAATAGGAGGGAACCGAGCAAGAATCAGAAATCACCCAATGTTTTCGGAAGAATAACTGTAATGTGGTCAGCGCCTTTTCCGATCACATTGCAGCCTTCATTAAATTAATATTAATCTCTTTGTGCTACGCTCATTACACAAAGTGGTAAATGCGAAGCACAAAAGAAAGAATAATATATAATATAATGAATCACGTGTAATACAATAAATAAGTATTCGCCCCAATCCGTTAAGTCCCACCTCTGCCACCTGAAAACGTCCTTTGATGATAGCGATTTCCATTTATGGAATCCAAGTTCTTGACATTGAATGATCGAAAACCCTCGTGTTGTTTGACGAATAGACAACCTTTCTGGTTCACGAGACAGAAAAGCGGAGGTGACCTTCCCAGCATGTCCGATTGCACCTGCACATCCCTTGTGACCGTAGGGGGCAATAAACGCGAGCGTGGCTCCTGGTCGGGTCAGGGAGTCACAATGATGGCTGTACTAGTAGAACACAACAATGGTGTCAACAGAGAAAGAAATGTCCTCTAGAAGCTCAGAATTTTCGAGAGGGTTGTGGAAAAGTTTCAGAAGTGGTCTGATTTGATATGGAGCGGCCCAAGCGATGGTAAGTAAGGCAGAAACGATGTTTATAAGATTGTACTCTGTTATCGTCGTGGATTGATTTGCAAAACAGCACTGTAAAGCTTTTGCCCTCAGAGGTTAACCCGATGAGAGTATTTTTCCTGATTCTATGATTTGCTAGCAGAACAGTATACATGGCCACCGCAGCCGGTACTGCGCATAAGCGAAATGGTCCAGTGTTATTCTTAATACCACTGTGATCTAGCTCGCAGCAGTCACTTCTCCCGATACCGCTTCTGCTTCAGAAGCTATCGGGGGGGGGGGGCAGAAACGGTTCGTGACTCTCAGCATACCAACTATGTAGAAGAGTATGCAACACTCTATATAGCTCTCCTAACAATCTTGGAACATCCAGGCTTGTATCGGACAAATAGTATAAATCATTTTCACTGATAAGCTGACCGCGAGTTAAACACTTGTTTACAGCCGTTCCTTATCGGGCAAACGACAACAAACAAACAAGCAAAAGCAAAAAAACTCGCCTCATTCTCACAGACGGTTTTTACTATTCCCCTTTGAACAGAGAACGTAGATAGAAGACGTCATGCATTCGCAATTCCGTTCCATTCACTATACTTGAAAATGGGTAACTTTGCTAGTCAAAGGAACTCTGCTCTTTGACAGAAGGATTGGAACCAGGGTCAAAACTATCGTTGTTACTTTTTGAAAAAATTTACGACCCCCTCCCCAAAGGTGGATTGATAGACGTAAGCAAACCAGCCCTTTTGGCACATCGGCTGGGACCGTATGCTGAATGTTGGGGAGGGGATGGTGTCCCCGACGGTGGACGGACAACTTCAACGCGGTCCTTAGAACCGCCACAATTTGGCGCTTACCTTAGAACTAAGCCTTAAAGAGAGGACGGGTCCGTCCTCTCCTAGGCTTAGTCCAAGGGTGAGCAGACCGGTCCTTCTGGCGAAGCTACTGGACCAGCTGCACCACTTGCGTCAGTACTCTCCTATCGTACCAACCGAGTTGAAGTAAACCGTCGACCGTTGGGGACCCCATCCCCTCCCCAACATTCAGCATACGGTCCCAGCCGATGTGCCAAAAGGGCTGGTTTGCTTACGTCGATTCATACGCCCCCTAATCCCCACAGGGTCGGTCCTATCGTTGCTACTCTTTTTGGATTTTTTCTACGACCCACCCCCCCTTCATGGGCGATTTGGTACGACCCCCTGTGTGTAGCTCAAGTGGTGATAAGATTACTTACAAACAATAATAATCATATGAATTAAAACTTTTTTAGACAAGAATGCTGAATTTCGGTTCAAATTTCATAAAAGACGAGTTACCATTCCGAAAAACAGCGTAGGCATGGAATTAGGACATAAAGTCATTTATGATACGGACCTCATGGCTGAGGGCTAAAGGTTTGACAGGTTTTTGACAGGTTACGTTTCTGTGGTGGATCGCGCCCTCGGTGACCGCAGTGGGGCGCGTTTGTTGAAGGGGAACAGGTGTCGAAAGGGGAAATCGAGAAGTAGAAGAATTTTTCCGTGAAATTTCAGGTTCCTCGGAAGACGGAGGTGGATTCTGGATCACCGACGGTCATCCTTCTTAATTAGCGGATTTGTTCTTAAACAATCTGAAATGATTAATTTATTGAACAAGAAAGGAATTTGCACTACAATTTTCACCTTCCTCTTTTTAGGGCTATAACTTTCTTCATATTCGAGCTTT